CCTTCTCATCCACTTTATTTTTCAATTTTGACTCTGTAAAGGGCAAACATCACGAAGTGGGATTGAAACACCCAGGCTCATAGTTGCCAGCGGAAATGATGATGCTGTTTGAACCATGGCATTAGGTTACAGGTATTTAACCATTGGGTCAAACCTTACAGTCTTAAATACAAGCTCATTCTGAATTAGGTCAGTGCTTTTGAGCCATCTGATCTGGGAATTAGATTTTAAAAGATCAGAGTAAGTTTCCCAGGAGATGCCAGCAAGTTCATATGTAGAAGATTTCTTAACCAGGCTGATCAGTACTTGTAATCAAACCTAAAAAAGATACAAAGAGTTTATGTCTGGGGGAAAAAAAAAAAACACTATCATTATCCTCCAATTATGCCTTTTTTTTTTTCTAATGGGAAAACAGGTCAAAAGTGCACCACCTCTTTCCACAGACAACGTCCTTTTCCTCACAAAAGCAAGTAGGTATCCCAGGCTCAGGAAACAGGCAGTATCGTACTTCTCTCTCTCAGACTCTCAGTTTTACTATATAACACTCCTCCCTATAATTAATCAACTCCAAAACTACTTAAAACTGCTTTGGAACAAAAGCTGATTAATGAATGAGCTTTTAAGCTTGAACAGAACCTGAGATCAGGTCAGATGCCTCCCAGACAAGCCCTCTGCCTTTCATTACCTAAAGCAATTAGCTTGATAATCACTCTTAATTGAAGGTGTTATTAAACATGCAAATGGAGGCTGGGGTACTCAAAAGAGAGGACTGGGTCCCCCCCACCCAAGGCTCCCAGTAGGAAAGGCAGTGCATGTGGAGACCAAGGACAAGGCGGTGCATGTGGAGATACAAGTGTGGAGGTAGCACCCTTGGCCAGTTGTTCAGGTGTTTGGCTGCAGATAGGTAAGAAAAGCTAAACCTGGAGGAAGGGAGATGGTTGCGAGAGGAGCAGAAGATAGAGCCAGATGTGGGAACAGGGCTGGTTTATCTCACACCTTTTCACTCTTTTCCCACTCGCTTTTCCTGCTGTGGTCCAATCCTCCCTTGCACCGCCATTAACCCCAACTCCAGACTTGTGCACCAACACGGGCAGCCAGCAAACAGCATGTGTTACTCATCTCTTCATGCTCTTCAGAAGTGTGTCTGCTCCCTGTGAATAATCCCAGCTCTTGGCACCTGTGGGGTCAAACCACTCAGGCCCCACTCTGCTGGGGACCGCCTGCAGCGCCGGCCTGGGGCTCCCTGGCCAGCACCCGAATCTGTGCTGCAAAACCACCCCAAATAACAAGGGGAGCTGGCCTACACTAAGCTCTGCCGCCAAGCTAGACTGCTGCTGGTGCCCAAACCTGCTTGCTTTCAGCTTGCCGTATCCCAAAATGTTTGCAACAAGCGGCAAGCCAGAGGAAGGTCATGGAAGAGCCTACCTGGTGATGCTTGGGAAGGGCAGTCATAGGGAGGAGGTCATTTTTTTGTCTAGAAAAACCATTTCTAAGCCTTCTTCTTGCTATGGGCTGTCTCTACCTATTTGGAGGGGAAGAGAGGACAGGGGAATAGCACAGGAAATCGACACACTTGTGGTTTCTTTTTAATCTGCAAGCATCACTGTACCAAGTTTCACACCTGAAGAGAGGCTGCAGCGCTCTGGTTTCCCTTCATCCCCGTGAGTACAGTAGCGCTGCCCCCATCACGCCGTAGCTCGGTGGTAGCCCTTGCCCTTCCTCACAGCTCCCTTGCTCCTCGTGAGCAGGCCTTAGCTCCAGGGGATGTATCTATCGCTCTGGTCACTCCTGAGATGGAAAGCTTGTCACTGACACAATCCCAACAGGCCACTTTGGGAAATAGAGTTTTATTAGGCACAACCGGTCTACACACCTTACAGCACAGTGCAGTTCTCAGTACAATTCACATTAAGGGCATTCTTTTTCCAAACTGAGCTAAAACATGAGAATTATATCCCACATCAGGCAGTGATAATGTCTTATTATTGGAACATTCATTTATTACCAGTAAAATCCTTTCTAGAAAAAATATCCCTGACAACCATCCTCGTTCTGCAAAACCCTGAATTTTAACACGTGAAGGCACTCAGCGGTTCTGTGAGCAGCAGAACTAGGGAAGCTGAGATTCGTGGGAATGTAAGTTACAATGTTGAGTCCTGTGTCATTCCTCCAGTTTCTAGTAGGGCTGGGGAGGTACAGTAGGGATACGATAGATTGGCCTCCTTGGCCACAATCACCTATTTTCATGCAATCTGAAGTTCCTTATTCTCTTTCAGATCTCTTGTATTCCATCAGATTGGACTGTGCCCAAAAAGTCAAAAAAGGTGGCTAGGGATGACAGACTGACACAGAAACATAGAACTGCATTAGCCTTGTTTCCTTAGGAAACAAGACAAAACATGGAAGAGGTAGGAGAATAAACCCGAGGACAAGAACTAACAGGTAAACCTGGAATATATCCCTGAGAACTCTCTTTGGTTACTGTTTCATAAAGCAAGTGAAGCCAGGCTCGTCTGTCTTTTAGACACGCTAAGGTACAGTACTTGGCAGGTGTGCAGGGAGAAAGCAAGGTTAAGAAACTGGGGAGACACAAGTCCAGGGGTCAGTACTAGAAACCTGAGCATGAATTTTATACTCTCCTGGTTTACACTTTTTCCCTCTGCCTCCACACAGCAACACCGTGCCCAGGAGCTAAGCGTTTGACAGCTCTTCGAGAGCTCAAAATCCGGAGTCCTTGGAGTGAGCCTGAGTGCAGACAGCAGGCACTGTGTGGCTTGTAGAGTGAGGAGGCTGAGAAATGGGCTAACGCGGGTCTTAATGTCTTCAAAGAAGCTATTGCTCATTGGGGCTATGCTAGTTTTAAGCTCAGTGTAGCAATAGCAGCTCAAGACACACTGAGCTTTGTGCTACGTTGCGCTGTTGGCGGCGGTCTCGGGTCGGCTTGGTTAAAGTACTTCAGCTGTATCCAACCTTCTCCATGCTCACTGCCACCGCTGCAGTGCAGCAGGAAGGCAGGAGGGACAAGGAAAGTGGCCACGTAGGTGGAAATATAGAGACTATTTGCAGTATGTGCACAGGTAACAAGAAAGCAAAATGCGGGGCTGGAGCCAGAAAGTATTCAATAATATTAAACAAACAAAACTCTGGTGATCTGGAACGAAGTAGTTTCCCCAGAAAGAACGGATACCCCTGTGACCTGCAACAGTTAAAGTTAATGTTGACATAGTGCTAGAAATATCTTGATGTGGATGCTCCTTGAGTGCCTGAAGAAGGAGTAGAATATGCTGCAGGAAATAGAACATATGGGAGCAGAACATCATCTTGCTCAGCCTTTCAAAAGAGACTAGAGGCAACTAGTTTGCAGCTGCTTCCTAATGCATCTCACTGTACAATTTTTTGGGTGAAGGAGCAAATCCCACAGCCCAGCAGACACATGTGAAGCCTGAGGGAGGTGAGCGAGCTGGAACAGCTATCCTTGGTCTGTGAGCTTCCAAAGGCCAGCTGCGATTGCCAAGCAGTGCCGCAGGCTGGAGAGCCATCCTGCTCCAGCAGGAACCTCAGTCCAGGAGATGCAGATGTTCACAGACAGCACAACACTGGGTGGATTATCGTGAGTTTTGACAAAGCAATCAGCTCTGTCCTTGGGACATGAGGGACATCAGGAAGCTTCTCGTTTTGGGCACAAGAGTATAAAGTATCAACCAAGACGTCTCTGATCCGCTGTCCCCAGGGATCACTCACATGCAAGTCCTCCCTGATATTTCCCCATGCCATACAGAATACGTCATATATCACTGCCTGTGCCCTGAGTGCCTTGCTCTTCTCAGCCTCCTGGCTCCTTCATATAGGGATGGAGATCGGTTCCTCCATGTCTACGAGATCTCTGAAGCAGTAACGTGGCCTTTACTGGTTTTTGGGAAGCCCAGTTCATTTTGCTCCGCATCTGTGGTTCATTCAATGATGTTAAACACTGTGTGAGCACAGATCCAAAAGGCCACAGTATTATCTTCCTCTAATATTTTTGAGTGCTGCAAATATGCTAGGCACTGAAACTGAAGAAAAAACACCTGTGCCAGCTCTTTGGTTCAGCCTCGTGGACTTGGACGGTGTCATCAATGACTATATCCAACTATGAGTCCAGCACTGCCAGTCATGATTTACCTGATTAATGTATGCAGCCATATGGTAACTAAGATGCTCACTTTTATTTTCATCTGGCTAAATAAGTTCAAAAAAATCTAAAACAGTGAAATGCTTTCTCTTCAGTTAATTGATAAGTCCAGTAAAAAGTCTTTTTTATTTTAGAAAAAAAATCATTTCAAAATGAAGAAATGTATTGGCCAACTCAGCTAAAGGTGAGAGAATGTTTTATAAAGGTAAATTCCAAGTATGGAAAGCTCATTTCTGAAAAATTCCTTACTTATCATGCCAGTGTAAATCTACTGCCTTTTTATTACTCTACTTTTTCTTATTCCAGACAGTTAGGGTGAGAAGGTCTGTGAAGCTATTTCTATTTTTAAATGCCAAACAAGCTCCATTTAAGAAGACGAAGATGGGGAAAAAAAGTGGAAAGAAAAGACAAAAAGAGAATTAAAATGGTTTCCACACCAAGCAGCTGTAGTTGTGGTGTGGAGACACTACTGTATTACATGGGGTGGCTACCATGGTCACTATCTTAGCCTCTTCCTGCCTTTGGTCCTTTCACACTTCAGTTTGGTGCGTGAGCAGGGTGAAACTAAGACTTACTCACACAGTGACCACAGGACCTGGCAGGTTTCCCATGGCAAGCAGTGCATCACGGCCCATGCAGGCCGTGCGATCGTGCTGTAGTGATGCAGCCCAGTCCTATAACCCTCCCCTATCATTTATGCCAAACAGAAAAAAACACTCCCACTTTCAAGCATAAGACATTTCCTTCTCTTTCTCTCTCTCCTTCTAAACCCCTCATGTCTTTACAAAGTCTTGTGTTGGCCTTCCAGAGCAGGCCAGTTTTCTCAACATCAGTGGGAGTCCAAGCTGCCCTCCTCCCAGCCGATGAGGGCTTTGGTCTTAATCCGGAGTTTGTGAGGCAGAGCAGAATAGCTTCGGCCCTTCGGGCAATCCTCTGAAGGACAGGGCAAGCTGTACAGGGATAGGGGAGAAATTTTGGGCACCTGTTGCTCATCGTCTTCATCTGAAACCGTTCTGGTACTTCCTTTGTTCACCTCAGTTAGGCTGGAGGAAGGGGACAAGAAGCAGGTGCTGTCTGACAGGGGGAGGTGGTGGGCATATTTCTCTGGGCAGTGGTAACCGAGGAAAGGAGAGCAGACTGTGGATCTGAAGGCTGAATCAAACCTCTTTGACTGGTGAAAGCTAAGGTCACACTGGGTACCCATGACGGCCTGCTGTGAGTCACAGCTTAGGATATTTCTGGATTGATCAAAGCTTTTGCATGAAAAGTGAGCTGGCTCTAGCACCTTTGGCACCAAGCTGTTTGCCCTGAAGAAGCAGGAATCCCTAGGAAATGACTCTGCCTCGGGAAATGGGGGGACAGGTTTATGTCCCCTGAAATAAATTCCCAGCAAGTCCTGGACAGAGCAGCCCTGATGGGTGCTAGTGTCTGTGCTGATGAGCCCAAAACGCAACTTCAGGGACAGCAACTCTGTCCTGAGGACGGCATTCTCCTCGCTGAGAGCAGCCAGCTGGCTCTCCATGGCAAAGTCATTGAGACGCCTCTTCTCCCGCGAGCGCTTGGCTGCCTCGTTGTTCTTGCGCCTCTTCTCCCAGTACATGTTGTCCTTCTTCTCGTCCGGCATGAACTCCCGCTTGCGCCGGGAGGGCCCACTCAGCTTGCTGTGGAGGAACTTCACCTTGCTGTGCTGAAGCCCAAGCTCATTGATGGTGTTCAGTGGTGCCATGAAGCCTTCCATGGTTGTCAATGCACTCTGTGTTGTGCCAGTGGGAACCTTGGATGGTAGAATTAAAATATAAAACTATTACCATCAAAGGTCATATTAATTAATAGCAATGAATAAATTAATATAGCCACATCATCATTCTATCTGTGTTGCATTCACACTTAACACCAGGTCAAGTACTACACAAGCAAGTAATCTGAGGATGCTTTCCCTTGGTTATTTCTGTTGTTTTGAAGCCATGATTTCACGATACTGTCAGCACAGCAGTGTACTTCCATCTCACCAGTGTTTGCAAAGTGGGTCATGGCATGTCCCCAGAATTGTGTTTGATTGAGCAGGGAAAGAAAAAATATTTTTGCTGGATTAATAAACAAATACACACTTTGCCCAGTGAATCCCAACAGGAAAACAAAAATTGCTCTTGCACACTCCTTATCTCCCACTAATCTCCAACTGCCTCATAAGGGAAATAAGCCTTATTACACCCTGTATTACAGATAAGGCAGGCACAGGGAGGAGAACTGATCTACTGCAAAGTCACCTTTTTCTCAGAACCCCAGGTCTCAGTCTGGTAAGCTGGTTCATGATGACAATGATTTTGGGTAAATATGGATGAACTCGATGAAAATGCTGTCTAGAAGTTTCTAAGTACTTGCATGGTACATGCATGGCATCAGCATGGCACTAAGCACAAGCACAGCTATCACAGAACATTTGAAGATAATGACCACGGTACACTCCTGACTGCACAAAAGATAGCAGGGAAGACCAATGAGATAGTGTAAGTTGTGAATTAAATTAATATAGTGATCACAGAACTACTCAAAGTATTTATCACGGCAGGCATCCCTACCTATGCTATGAGCTTCCTGTTGCATTGACCCCTTCCAGGAGAAACAAATAAGGCCTCCTGTCTGCGGGCAGTCAGAAAGATTGCTCTGATTAAGCACCAATGTCTGCAATGCAGAGGATGGATCCAACTCAGAAATGCTTCAATTTGATACTGCTCACGATTTAGGTCCCTTCTAGCAGAAAGCTGAGCTAGAAGGAGCTGCCCAGGTATATGCAATGAGCTCTTACCTCCACAGGATTAGCCCAAAATGGCGAAGAGCATGATTGTTTCACTTGGATTAGTAATTAATGCACTGAAGTTTGGGTACTTGCCACATTTTCATCCCCACAGCTCTTACACAAACCCCTTCATTTTAACCTTATGACTATGTGACTGTTGAGAGCCACAAGACCAAAGCACAAATTCCACACTTCCTTTCAGGTTATAACATACGTCACTAGCCCTGCAATACACTTGTGGCAGTGCTTTGCCATGCCTAGTAGCTAGAATAATAATAGTACCTGTTTATAGAACTGCAAAGTGCTATTCTGAGTCATGGGTGCAACATCAGAAAGGTTCCTGGCAGAGCTGGTCAGAGCGCTGTGGGGAGAAGGGCTGGTAGACATTTTCAGCTGAAAGTATTCTCCCAAGAAAAAAAATCATTCTGTCTTAAAATTGCCAAAAGTCAGGAAAAAAAATCAACACAACACCCCAAAGTCTAGCCTTTCTCATTTTTTAGCCAGAAACATTCAGTTTTGGTATTTTCAACTTTCAAAGACCTAGTTAGGAATCAAATTAAATGGCCATATGCAGAGCCACAAGTGACGAGAGAAGTCCAATTACTTTAGGAAGTCCGGACTGCTTTGCTGAAAATCAACACAGCTAATGATCAGCATGACTAATGGCCCACATTTTTGCTACATCAATTAATTATGAGTTACATGATTTGCTCTTTTCTTGCTGACTGATAACCAGCGTCAAGGAAATGGCAATGCATAATTCAAAGCCATTCATCCCTCAAAGCCTGATATCTCTCTGTTTAGGCAGGTACTGTACATCCTCTGCACACAGAAGAGTGCAAGTTCAATGACAGACTTACAGTAATAGAAACTATAACTAGCAGTGTTTGAGCTCTTCCTTCCTAGGCTAAAAATTCTTGTCTTTCACAGACATATTTTGTTGCCTGCAGGCAAAGTATCTGCTACTTACTTATTTTTACAAATTTGGAGACCTTCAGTATTGGGAGGTTGCTATCAATGGTGATTTTTGCACAGTGCAGATGTGAAAAAGAGAGAGAAAAAAAACACATTTCCTTGTTAACAGGATTTGCTCAGTATGACCAGAACTCTATTCTGGTTTAAATCAGGACACGTATCATGAAGGTATTCTCTGCCAAATTCGTGTGACTTTGTAATTAAATACATTTTCTCTTTGAGATCTTAAGGAGTGTGCAAAGGTTCTGGGCTAACTAAAGATCAAAACAAAAGAATCTCCTTCACCATTAATATGTGTGGGGTAATTCCTCCAGTTTTTGATCAAAATGACTTCTGATCTCAAAGCATCAAAGGGAGAATATCACTGAGGATGCCTGTGGTTTCAGATAGCGTCAAGATGCAGAAAAATGCTATTGTTTCAGTATTTAATCACTTACCAGGAATTTTTCAGGTTAGTATTTGACGTGACTTCTTTGCTGAATGAGTCAAGGATCAACAGGTGGCTCTTTCACTGTGTAAACTCAACACCCGTATTGAGGAAAGTAGTTTGTTTTCTCCTTATCCTTTTCTTGCTTCAGTGTCTGTCATAAGGAGACCCTATAAGAGGAAGCTTAAGTTAATATGACCAACACTCATGGTCCAACATAGCTGTGAAACATCATAAATAAAATGAACCCAGAGAAAGCATCTGTGAGAAAGAAAAAGTCACAACCAACCCAAACTCTTCCTTCCAACATACAAAGTCAAGTTAAAAAAAGTTAAACAACTTCTTTCACATGTTTAGCCCCTCACACTTTAACTCACTGCACCAAGGTGGGGGTTTTCTTAGGACCCCACATCAGGGGTGTCAGGATTGAAGCTGATGGGATGTGAAATAATGAGAAGGGAGAACTGAGTCCAAGGAAAAGTCACAAGTCAGACCAGGCAGCGGGCACAGTAACACTTACTCGGAGCTGAAGAAGATGTGGGACAAGTGGTGGGAGAAGTGGGAGGCAGAGGAAGCACTTATCGGAGGCAGGATCTGGCCTTTGAAGGGTAAGGGATGAAGTTTTAACAAGTAAAAATGATGTTTGAAGCCACAGAGCCTAAGCTATATCTGTTATTTATAACTGCAGCCACAAAGTCTCAAGGTACCCAGGTGATGTTCATCCTGGGAGGCTCTCCATGAGTAGAGACTCTAGCAATTCAAGTGTACAAGTGGAAACTTTAATATGAATAAACACTGGAGAATCATTTTGATCAAGTGCATTATGCAACCAATATTTCCTAAGGTGTCTTGGTATTTGTTTCTGCTGCTGGAAATGTGGAAGACAGTTACTAATGAGATGCTGCCATACAGGTCTCGCCCAAACATCATCCGCGCGCTGCTTTATCTGCATCCTGACTGGGACAGAAAGAAGTCTTGTAAAATAATGGTAGCCCTTCATTTGCCACCTGACTTGCACTGCTGCTGTTAGTTCCATTCACATACAGGATTCTTCTCAAGCCATGCCCATCTGGTGGGCATGAAAAGCCTTCAAACGTTCCCAGTATGTCGGTTCCAACATTTGTTGGTTGAGATAGGAAAGCCAAGTTTTTACATAACCACTGCACTGTCTTACCATTAAGTACACAAAAATATGCACAAAACAGTATCCTTGCTTCATCTACAGTGTATCTAATTTGTTATGCTCCTGTCCAAGGATAGCAAAGTTGACGAACACAGCGAAGATTTTACTCCAGGCACAAATATCTCAATTATCCCACCAGTCTGTATGGGACCTTCACTGCGTAGAACACTCATGGGTGTGAAGGACTAACTGTTCGATGTCTCACTTTAATATATAAGCTAAAACATTTACACCTCTGTGAAAACAAGGGGGCATTCTATTGAGGTTTTCCTACCTCACGTATAAACTCTACTTGGTCATAAGATTCTCATTTCTGATAAAACTGCCTTCGTTCCACTAACAGAAGGTCGTGGTAGGGCTCAGGCTGCAGAGGTGGTTCAGACCCATCTCTTCCTCTTCCCCTTATCTCCACGCTGAGCAGCAGATCAGAGCAAACTCTGATTAATTGTACTTCCAGCAGGTTGTACATAGTTCTCCAGCAAAAGCTTACATTTAACAGGAACTTATTCTCTGCACATCTATAAAATGAGATAAGCTTTTTAAAAACAAACTATACTGTCTCCTAAAACAGCTGGTGAATCTCAATTTGCTGTGATCAAAAATCAAGACCTCCCTTCTCAAACTACTTCATTCTTCTTCTCAGAACTGTAATAAAATTAGAATAGGTCCAGTGAAGGACGACCCGGAAGAGTCATAAATATAACACTATTTCTGCACAAAGAAATGATCACTCATTTTTTCTCAAGAACAAAGAATATGCACTGGAACTTTCTGTATTTCACAGTAACAAAAGGAAGAACATCTTCACATGACATATAATTAAAATCTGTAATTCGTTGCCCTGGGATACCCTAGTTACCAAAAGTGAAAGTGGGATCAAAAAAGAATCACACAAATTAATAGCACACAATCTGATCAAGGGCTATTAAACAAGATGAACAGTAACTGCAGCTTGCTATAAAGAGAACAAAATTATTTCATAGACACTCTGATTATTATAACCCCTTCCTGACTGTCCTATTACAAGCTATTCTTACAGAAAAAAAAAAGAGCAGTCCAGGTAGAAGTTTGACCTGACTCAATATGATAGTTCTTATATCCTAAAATACTGCTTGAATTTGGGTATTAAATACATTTCCAGTGAGTGGGTTGTAAAACCTACAGAACTGAACTGCAGTTGTGGTCTCATGTTTTCTTTGAATTAGAAGAGAAGATGAACAGAATTATATACAAAGGTTAATCATATTACTATCATGAATAGTTTATGTTTTTCAGTCTACTTTTTTATCATATAAATCTAAATTTTACTGCTACTCAGTATGACTTCACTTTGCATAAACTGCAAACTTTTTCTTA